TTTCTCCGGCCATCTCTAGACAACTTCCTCCATCAACAATAAAATCATGGTGTGCACAAACCCCATATCCACAACCGTGTGAGTATTTCTTGTCCCACAGCCCTAAATACGGTCATGGTTATCCCATAAAAGGCAAGTCCGATTTTCTGAAGATGTCACTCAATCTTGCCTTAGAACGTGCCCTGCATGGCCGGGAAAACACATACAACCTTGGCTCAAAATGTCAAAACCAGCGCGAAAAGGCTGCATGGGCAGATTGTCTAGAGCTTTACGAAAGCACCATTGTCAAGATTAACAAAACTGTTGATCCTTACACCAAGTGCAGTGCAGTTGATGCGCAAACTTGGCTTAGCACAGCACTCACCAATCTTGAGACATGCAAGCAAGGGTTCACTGAGCTTGGACGCGGTGCTGATTTTCTTGTGCCCTTGATGTCAAATAGTAACGTTAGCTGTTTGATTAGTAACACTTTGTCCCTAAACAAAGTGGGATATAACGAGCCAAGCTACAAGGAGGGGTTCCCAACTTGGGTGAAACCTGGTGACAGGAAACTCTTGCAGTCTTCATCTCCAAAGCCAAATGTTGTGGTAGCCCAAGATGGTTCGGGCAACTTTAAGACGGTCGCTCAAGCTATAGCTGCTGCCGCGAAGCGATCGGGAAATGGGAGGTATGTGATACACATAAAGGCAGGAACATATAAGGAAAATGTGGAGATTGGAACTAAGTTGAAGAATATCATGTTGGTTGGTGATGGTATTGGAAAAACCATTATCACCGGAAGCAAGAGCGTTGACGGTGGTAGCACCACTTTCAAATCTGCAACAGTTGGTAAGTTAAGCTAGCCAAACAAAGCAATTTTTGTTTCATATTCTACACCTACAACAGACTTAAGTTTTCTCTAATGCACAAAACTGGTAATAGAGCAACCACAACACGAACTTGCCTGTTAGGTAATAAGCAGTCCTAAAGGAAAATCTCGAACTAGAGGATTTTTCTTTGCATGCATGGCAGACCGATAAGCTGACTATAGATGGTAGACAATATTTTTAATAATCAGAGTATGCTTGGGGCTGTGAAGGTTTATTGTCTGCTAAACTATTTTCTCTTCTTTTTTTTCTCTTTTGAGTTTTTCTGTGAGGACGAAGAAATACAACTGTTGTTTACTTTATTTTTTCAGAGAGAGAGAGAGAGCACACAATAAAATAAAAGGTGTTATTCAATAATCATGACAACCACAGAGTATAAGCTTAAGTTGTGTTGGGTTCTGGGAAAGGGTACAGAATAGCATTTCTTCGAGGAGAAGGCAGAGAAAATGGAAGTTTTGAATTTATGAATGTTAAGAACGAGTCTCAGTAAGAAAGTTCAACTTCGATGAAAATGTTAGCTTGATAGGAGATTTCTAGAATTAAAAGACTTGTTTGAGCTAGGTGGATAACATTGGACATAATGCACATAAAGTCTACGTCCTTGAATTATGAACTCTGAAGTCTCTATCGACTCGTATTTGTCATAACATCTATTCTAATTAATCCTCTTTTGAAGGCTGTCCTGAATGTCATCCTATAATGATAGCTGACTTAGTTTAGAATTTTATTGCAGTACTCATTTTGATAAAGGTGTAATGGAACTGACAAAATATTCTTGTCTACCTAAATTTCAGCCGTTGTCGGCGATGGATTCATTGCTCGTGGGATTTCATTTAGGAACACAGCGGGACCTCAAAATCACCAAGCGGTGGCTCTTCGTTCTGGTTCCGATCTCTCTGTATTTTACCAATGCAGCTTTGAAGGCTATCAAGACACCCTTTATGTCCACTCGGAAAGACAATTTTACAGGGAATGTGATATCTACGGAACTGTTGATTTTATATTTGGAAATGCTGCTGTCGTCTTCCAAAACTGTAACATCTATGCAAGAAATCCTCCGAACAAGACAAACACTATCACCGCACAAGGTAGAACCGACCCTAACCAAAACACTGGAATATCCATTCTCAATTCCAGAGTTACCGCAGCTTCTGACTTGAAACCAGTTCAAAGCTCGGTCAAGACATATCTTGGAAGACCATGGAAAGAATATTCAAGGACTGTGTTCATGAAAACATTTCTTGATGGTTTAATTAATCCAGATGGTTGGATGCCCTGGAGTGGTAATTTTGCTCTCAATACCTTGTACTATGGAGAATATGCTAACACAGGCCCTGGTTCATCCACTGCAAAAAGGGTAAACTGGAAGGGGTATCACGTGATAACTAGTGCAACAGAGGCTTCTAAATTCACAGTCGGAAACTTCATTGCTGGCAGTTCTTGGTTGCCTGCCACCAATGTGCCCTTCACATCTGGCCTCTAATTCAATTCTTCCTCTATACCCGAAAGTTCAATTCTTTATTTTGTTTTTAGCATGGACATAACGTCCACTTTCTATTCCTGGAAAGGTCCGGAAAACTACGGAATAGGATTTTAGTTTGAGGAATTGGTATTATCACAGTAGTACATGTGTATCTTTACCTAGTTAAGTTGCCAATTATTTCATGCTTCTTGTAATAAAAATCATGATTGTCCTTGTATATCAAGTCAATTATGGAAAATATAGCAATCTTTCTGGATACGAGACACTAGTGATGCTGGATATATTATACTATTACCATCATTGATCCAATCAAAGTATGAAATTTCAAGTTGATGGTCATTAACTAGGATTCCGATGACTTCTTCAAGACTTAGCCACCCTAAGTCTTTTTTTTTCCCCTTTGCTTTTCTAGTCTTTTTTTTTTTTTTTTTTCCCTTTTGCCTTTAACCACACGGGGTTGACCGTTGCATTCGTCAACATTTGCCATGACAGCGACAGTCAGACTTTTATTTCGGCAAGTACATAATAAATATATTTTTCTTGTCTTTCTTTTAAAGTACTTTTCTTGTCTTTTTTACTTTTTTGGTGCATTTCTTGTCTTATTCAAGCACATAAAAGATGGATCAGCAGTGAAATTAGATTCTTGTACCATGGATACGATAGAGTTATTCAACAATTAGGCGAACGAGTAAAGTTCTTAAACAAAACCAAAAGTCATACTAATCTCTTTCATTAACACGCTAGGGAGGATCAGGGGGAGTGTCAAAGTCTGGCCACTGCCTCTAATCGTAACCTTATTACTATATCTCATACAAATACGAAATGGATTGAGTAATTTAAAGTATTTGTGTTCAAATCTGCTTTTAATTAAATGCCAAGAATGAAGAGCTTGAGAAAATAGAGAAGGTCAAAGAGCTTAATAAAGGTTAAAAGTGAAATAAATGGACAGTCTTCTGGTTATATAGGGTGCTGATTTTAATTGGAATCATGTATTGGTGAGGTGTATTATTAGGAGCTGGGGTAGGCAATCCTGCTAAATCACCTACGGATCTTCTGTCCCACACCCTATGCCATTCTCTGTTCCATTTTTTATTATATTGATATTTATCCTTCATAAACATTATGTTTTAATCCTTTTTTGCTTCCTTAAGATCCAATAATTATTAATTCAGTAATACACAAAATTTAACAAACTCAAAAAATCAAAATGCATAAAAAAATGAGATTTTTTATGAATTTTCTGCTGTATTTTTTAATTTTCTATTATATATTGCTTTTTTGAAGCTTTTGTATTTTTTTTTTACTGAATTAATAGTTATTGAATCTTAAGGAAACAAAAAAGAACTAAAACATGATATTTTTTAAGGAAAAATAGCAATATAATAAAAAGTGGCACAAGGTGTGGGACAAAAGATCCGTTGCAATATTTATGGTATTTTTTTATTGTAAAAAAAAGGTGGATAAGTATTTCAATCTAACTAGTATATCTGTCAAAGTCAATTCTATTCCCTAAAATTCTTAACAAACATAAAAAAGATGAAACAAAGAGAGAAAAAAGGTAATAATTAAAATATTTTATTATTTTAATATCTCGAGGAATGGTAAACTAGTCGAAAAGACTTCTTCTTGGCTTGGCTTGCACTCGACTAACTTTATCCTTTCCTGCATCCTATGCATACCTTCATTCGACTAACTTCTTCTTGGCTAAATCACCTGGTTAACTTTTTTTTTTTCTTTGGTAAGTTGGTTTTCTTTTCCTCTGGTTTCTTTAATGGTTTTATTCTATAGTTTTGTGGAAGAATTTCAAGGTAGTGAGAAAGATGCAAAGAGATGAAAACAAAGAGCGAAGTTCAACATATTCCATTTGATGCATTCTTAAATTTTGATTCTCTTTTCCCCATAAACAAAACAAAGATGAATTGTCAAACCTTGCTGTGGTCCTACCTCCCTCTCTCATTCTTTACTCTTTTTTTTTTTTCTTTTTACAAGTTTTATATATGGATTCAGGTGGAACTCTCAATCTAACAAGAGAGAATGGGAAGAGAAGGATTTAAGGTTGATTTCTTGTTCTCCTAGATCTATTTATTGTTCCTTGCTAGTTGAGTTGAGTCTTATCAATTATTTAAGTCGGACTTTTCCTAAATGGGCTGATATGATCTAGAGATCCAAAACACTAAACAGGCCGATATTGTTGGGACTAGTGGAAATCGGGGTCACCTCTCATTTCCCTATCTTCAGATTCCTCGATCCTTAACGGCCTGTTTTTGGCAAGCTTTGCAACACTCCACTGATGCTATGTGTTTCTATTACATTCTTTTTTCTCTTTTTTTTTTATTTGCCACAAATGCAATTAAATCACTAATAGAAGTAGATGTGATGAGGTATTCAGAAAATTGAAATGATGTTTCCTACTTAAAAAAAGAAAAAAGAAAAAAAATCGGACGTGAAGCCACGTGGAGATTGTCTTTGTTAGTTCTTTGTTTTGTTCTGTATATGATTGTACCAGATAGGGCGGGACAGGGTCTTTGGGTTGGCCCAACGCTTTTGCCTTCCCCAATCCCATTCATCTTTTGATCCCAATAGTTACTGGATTTGATAACGCATTCGGGAGATATCCAACCAAAAAAGTGAAAGAAACAAAAAGATGGGAGGGGAACAAACATTGTGAAGTGTTTTTTCCATGGACAGTTCGAGCCGAATCCTTACCCTTGATGAAGATAAGACTCATAGTACTGGTGCATGCAACTTTAGAATATATGGTACTTAGTTATACCACAACCAAGATGAAGATGGGGTACAAGAATCTTTTTTCCTGCATTACCATTGGGTATTGGTTTTTAAACGGGTCAAGGAAAAGGCCTAAAAGCTAAAAGGCAAAATGTTGTCACAACTCACAAGAATCCTTAGAGAACATAAGCGCTCTTGTCCAGATCCAGCAGCGTGGCCAACTTTGCAATTCTTGGAATAGAGGTCCTTCATTAATCTGCAAATATTTGAATCCATCCAATAATCAGAAGAATACTAACGTTAGGCTATGCTAAGTAGCACTACCCACTAATGTAATCGGAAGATTGAATTCGAAATAATAACCCCTTTTTTTTTATAGAAATAGAAGTCATAATTATTAATAAATTGGTTAAAAATCGTCCAGTGCGATTTGCTCAGTTAAATCTAATGATTTTCAAATCAAATACACATATATGTGTGTGTGAGAGAGAGAGACATGTTTATTAAAAACGCATTAGAAAATGAATGGGATGATTATTAAGTACTATATTGTTTGAAAGAGGAACTTACGGACAGCCGTTCGGCAAAACGAAATAAGAACAATGAGTATGGCAAAGCCCGCTACGCTTCCCACGATGATTGCTACTGTTTTTCCTACTTCGTCATCGTTGCCATGGGAAGAATCTATTTGCATTTGTAAACACCAAAAAAACAAAGGGGTTTCATGGAGCAGAGCTGTCCAAAATATCCGAATTTAGAAAGCAAACTGGACGACTTCCTAAAGAAAATATATTCCTAGATTTTAACAACTAAGGCCAATAATTCTTCCTAGGCAAGTATGATTTTTATTTCGTGCATACCTGTAAGTTAATGCAACACCAATCGATTACACTGATTAAGGCAAATGTAGGCACTAGAAATTCAAGTCGATGATAAAATGGTGACACCCCATTTCCAGCAATGAAATGACCAGATTTTGTCCCAAATTTTTCGAACATAAAAAGATAAAGACTAAGGCTGGACTGCTAATTCCCAAATCATGATTTTATTCAAAGCAAATATACTTTTTATTGGACTACTGCAATATAGTCCTAGATTTTAACAATTGAAGCTTTATAGTTTTTGCCATGCAAGCAAAACTTATATTGGATGCTGGAAGAGACTAATTTTGACTAAAGAGTATCACTATCAGCATTGCTCTATTATAGAATACCGGTACCTTCCTTTTGGATACTTATTCTTCACATCCCGTATTGGCTTTCAACACGAGAAATTGCCTTAACTAAAATGCAATGCACTTGATTGCACTAACTGGAAATTTGACTTGATGATAAAAAGTCGACACCCCTCTTCCAGCAAAGAAATGACATTAAGCGTGATTAGGAAAAGTAGTAAGTAGAATATGGCAAAGCTCATCATTAGACCCAAAACAACAGAATAGGTAAACTATTTGAAAGCTTAGAAAAGAGAAAAGAATATATGTAGACCCTGTGCTTTAACTAAAAGTTGGATTCTCATTATCTGCAGCACTCCCAATTGTCTTGAGATTGAAATAAAGTAGTCAAGCTGCTTAAAGTAGCACTTACTGGGTCATGAAATTTTAAATCGCCCATTGTGCGGACATGAATGGAAGTAGGCATCATATCAAGAACCTAGTTAGGAATCGCGGTAACTGGGAGTATATGATTAGGGTTATGCTACTGCTAAAGTAAAACGAATCAAGCAAAAGCCAAAAAAAGAAAGGAGCTGTAAACCTGAGGAATCGTAATATCCAGATGCCCAATACCTAGCATAGCATTGTGCTAAAAAGACATCTGCAGCCTCAGATGATCCACACAAACTCTTCAATTGCACAACAGCATCAGCTAAACAAGAAGAACAGTCTGCCTCACTCAAGTCACCTATGCACTGTGCATAGCCTTCAACTAAGCCCGAAGTACTCACCCTAAAACTTATAGAACCCTGCATATTAGCGAGAACAGCATCTCTTCTCCTCAAGAACTCTGCATCACTGCTTGCACTTTTGCCACACTTCTTGTACCTAAGACTTGTATCCGGGTTACCGAGAAAATCTATGTGCTCATATCTGAGAAAGCAGCCATCAAGTTGCAAAATAGCTCCGTAAGTGTAAGGACAAACCAGATTAATTTGGTTAACCGCACTTGCCATGCATGTTGCACAATCCCTTGTTTCCAAATCACCCCTACACTGGTATAAACCATATATCGAGGCTTCAGCTGGTGCTGAGCTATCATTCCCGAGAGCAAAGCTGTTGTAAAGAGACTGAGAGGCTGAGTTTACTGCTGAAGATAGTAAAGTGTTGAGGTAGGTTACGTAGGGAGAATTTGGCTGGTACTTTCCTTCAGAGCAGTCTGAATAGATGAAAATATTAGCTTTGACATGGTGGCTTTGGTTAGACAGAACCAAGAGAAGAAAGAAAGAAGAGAGCCTGAGAGCTAAGGTGGTGAATTGAGGTTTGTGTTGTTGAAGGCTTCTCGGCATTTTTGATTGCTTCTGTTTTTAGTCAATTATACATTTCACTTGTTTTGTGTTGATGGTTTGTTTTGGTGGTCACAGAAAAGGTATTGATGCTCTAAGCTTGGCATTCTTCAATATTCCCTTTTAATTCTTTTGATAAAGGCACCAATTGGTTTTCATGGGCATAGTCTTTTGTCCCTGTATCCATCCTTGACCACGAATTAGATTCTTTCATAAATTTAGTCAAGTGGACAAAAAGGAAGATTAACCTGAATGTGTAATCAAAGTACTTAAGTGCCTTAATCATCATTCTGTGCACCTTTAGAGTTCCCTTTATGAAGTTAATAAAAAAAAATTATTTAGTGACCTAATAACGTACACTCTAATGAACCAATGATGCTTGTACAGTTCTGTCATGTTTTCCATAAAAGCTCCAAGGATATTGCAAAAGCGCTTGCTCGATTCCAAAAGAGATGGCACCATCTTACATCTAAGCTAGAAAAGAGTTTTGGATTATGACTGTCTTTCGAAATTCGTGTACATCCACCATCAATAACTAGTAGTTTACGTCTTAGTTGCTCCCTGTGCCAATTCCCTTGACACAGGCAAAGAAGTTAAATAGGTTAAAAGAGCCAGATAATAATAATGTCCACAGGGATTCGAGATTACGCAGAAACCGCAAAGGAGAAATCAAATGACACGACATTAGTTACTACTTGCACTACGTTATGGTAACGAAGCATATCATTGAGAATCAATCATACTCTTTTGACCCACTGGAATTTCCAAGGAACAGGTTCGACATCTTTTAGCAAACTTTTGCTGAAAGGACATGTTTCACATTACTTGGAAACTAATGATTGTTATGAATTTGAGTGCTGCAGGAACGACATGCTTGAAGCCGAGACTTTAAATTAAACAACATGGAACGCTTTAGCAAATGGTTCGAGTCGACTCATTAGGTGCTCGACTTGAATTTTATCTCAAATTCGAGATTGATTGAAGTATTCAATTGAATTTGTATATATTCGGCTTGATAAGGCATGAATAATTTTTTACATATTTTTATTTTTAAAAAATTATACATTAATTTATTTATTTGTAAATTTTACACATGTATTATTGGTAAAATATTATTAAAAATTTAACTAAAATTCCTAGCTTTAGAATTGAATTCAAGCATATTGAATTGAACTCAATTTTAAATTTTAAACTCATATAAGATTCGAGATCGAGTCCAAAATTCAAGTCGAACTCCATAGTATAAAAGTTCAATTCGTTTACAACCTAATTAAACCTGCAAATCAATCGAATTCAAAAAAAAAAAATGTTGAATTGGATGACAGAGGATACTAATATGTGAAGAAACGGTCCAAAATTGTCTCGTGGATGAGGAAGAATTTCAGGGCCGCCCAAAACTATTAAAAAACCGAGGAGTGAGATGTGATCCATTATTCAATACCACTAATTTGAGGCTCAAGTCAGGTTCGAGGCCCAAAAGAGAAAGGTCTTGAAAATGGCGACGGTGTTAGTCTGCGTAAGGCCTCCCAGATGATATATTGGCCTTAAGGGCCAGAACGGAGTAGACTTGATTATACCCGATCATCCAGTGTCCGAACGACCCAATTTGTTACTGGATGTTAGCAGGAAATATGCTTCTTGCTTGGAACATCCCCAGGTCAGGATGATTATAAAAATTTGATCAGGTATCAACCTATTCTCAAATCCCCACACTCAGTGGCGAAACCAAGACCCAAGATCAGTGGGGACAAAGATAGAAATGTATAGCAAAAGTTACGTCGATAATGCATTAAAATCACAGTTATACGAAGATATAATTTTCAATTACTACATATTTTACGATGAAAAATATGATAACAAAGCGATACTAAACCGCTATGTGAATAATTTGGTTTAAAAATTTATAGATTTTTCCTCACAATTTTGCAACGTGATTTTGAATTTTAAAATACAAGATAAAAGACATGTGAACTTGTTTTAGATTTCTAAAGGGGCAAGTTGAGGGAAGTTTTCTTTATAATTTTGTAATTATTCAAGTGTTGATGGGGGGATCTGAATAAATTATTATCCAAATGTTGATTTCTATTGTCTCTCTCTTTGAGAGTCCCTTCTCTCTCTAAGAGAGTTTTCTCTCCCGTAGTGGGTGGCCTTTTCCTTTCACTCTTTCCAAAATAACTAATAGACATTCTCCATTCAAGTTTCCACTTTCAGCAATCTTTCATTTCAAGTATTTCCTATTATAGTTTGGCGCCATTTTTCTGATCTAAATTAGGAATTTCTATTTTGGGAGCCTGGGATCGAACTCTGAGCTAGATCTGAAATTTTGCGGGAATGAATGCATTCAAAGTCTTCCAAAGTTTGTTCCAGGTTATATCTCTCAATTGTTGAGTCAAGTGTTTGTCTCTCGTCGTTTCTTCTATTTGTTTGTGGTGTAGGTACTTGGCGAGGAAAGCATAGAGTGGCAGCTCCATTCTGCTCAGCTGAGGTAAGATCGATTAGCTTGGAGCGGTTAAGGTCTGTGGTTTCTGCAAAGGATGGATAATCTGGAGGAGGTGATGAGGAGATTTACTCTCTCAAACTCTGAGAGACAGGGCGTATGGCTGGAGGAGGAAGAGTTCACAAAAGGTGTGGAGGAATGCAGTCTGAGTCTGATGGGGAAAGTCTGGGGAGAGAAGAAAGCGAATACAAATGGTGTTAAGAGCTTCGCGGAGAATATGTGGCTCCATCCAAAAAACCTGAAGGTGACGGAGATCCAGACTAACCTGTTTCAATTTTCGTTTGCTCAAAAATCAGATCTGGAGCGAGCTTTGAATGGGAGGCCATGGATCTATGATGGACAGCCGCTAATACTGTTGAAGTGGAGGGAAGGCATTGAGGATGATTTGGAAGTGTTTGATAAGGGGAGGATATGGGTACAGGTATGCAATCTACCCCTTCACTAGATTAATAGAGAGGTATGGAGGAAGATAGGAGAATTTTCAGTGATGTTTTTGAGATAATCATGGAGGCAAAGAGGGGAAACATATGAAATTACTTGTGGAATTTGATCTGACTAAACCTCTCCCTAGAGGCACTACAGTTAAGTCTAATGGCAAGTTGAGATAGGTAGAATTTAGGTATGAAAAATGCCCGAATTTTTGCTTTTGTTGTGGGATCATTGGCCACAATGAGAAAAATTGTGGTTTTAAAGGTTCTGCAATGAAAGAGGAACAACAATATGGTAACTGGCTAAGGGCAAGTTTCCCTAAGAGTCCTAATAGAAAGAGTAGTAGTGAGAAAGAGCAAAATCCGAGTAGTAACAACCACAAGGAGTCCACCTCATGTCACAGTAATAATAATGGACCTCCAAGCTTATTTCTGACATATACTGAGGATTTCCATATAGTGGAGGGGAATACCTTAAGGACAGCAGTAGGTACTGTGGGGTTGAGGGAGGAGAGTGAGGGTAAGGAAAACTTGCAGGGAACTGAGGGTAGTAAAGGGATGAAAGAGAAGGAAGTGCAAGGGAGTGTAGAAGGGGGTAAGGGAGCAAGTTAAAAGGGAAGTTATTACAATAGGGAAGGTTTAGGAAGTAGGGGAGGGAAAGACTGAAGAGATAGGATTAGAACAAAATTCAGTGGGGGTGATGTATGATCAAGGTTGGATGGATTGTGAGACAGAAAAAAGGATGGAGCAACTTATAGCAGTTGAAATGAAGGAGGTCAGGATGGAGGTAACTGACAAATGGGAGATAAGATGTGGGAGGTTGAGTGCTAATCCTCATATTGCAGAGAAAGGCAAGGGAAGGAACTGTAAGGGGTGGAAGAGGGTAGTGCAAGAAGTGGGGAGAAGGGAACCTCTGAGAGATGTGTCAAATGCGAAGCTCATGGCTGAATCATGGAAGAGGAAAGGTTCTGAGACTAATGTAGGGAGGGACAGTTTAATTGAGTCTGGAGGTAACTGGAAAAGGAACAGGAGGTCTGACCCGGAGGTGTGTTTTATGGAAGTTTCTGAGGTGGTGGAGCCTTCCCTAAATGGGGCTCCCAAGCCTCAATGAGAGCTCTAGTGTAGAATTGTCGAGGTGTTGAAAGCCTCTTGACAGTTCCCTTACTCAAGGAGGTTGCGTTACTCCACTTCCCCTCTTTATTTTTTCTGTCAGAAACAAAAAATAAAAAAAAAAGTGTCATGAATAATGTTAAGCAAAAAATCAAGTTTGACAACCTCTTTGTTATGGATCCTGTGGGTATGGTTGGTAGTCTGGCAGTGATGTGGAAGGATGAGGTGATTGTCAAAAAGGTACTGTTTACTAGTTTAATTGTTGATTGTTGATAGGGGTCATAAATTTAGAATGATGGTGTGTGTGCATTTATGCTAATCCAGATGACAGTATTAGGAAAACACAATGGGATGTGATTACTAGAAGGAGTCAGATATGGGGTGAGGCTTGGGCCATAATGGGAGATATGAATGATATAGTCTCTAATGGAGAAAAGTGGAGTGGCAGGGAAAGAGCAGATATCAGTTTTGAAAATTTTAGAGATTTCATTAATACCAATTAACTAATGGACATTGGCTATGAGGAAAAACCTTGGACATGGAGTAATAGGTGGGACAATGAGGGAGAGATCAGAGAACGTTTAGATAGAGTATTGGGATCTGGGAGTTGGTGTAATAGTTTTAGGAATGCAAGATGCAGGCATCTAGAGACCGAAGCTTCTGACCATTCTATGTTGTTGGTAGATATAAAACCTGCAATGGGGAAGAGGTGGAAGAAGAGGTTTGTGTTTGATAGGAATTGGCTTCAACATAAGGAGATGGGGAATATAGTTAAGTCAGCCTGGAACACTAGTTGTATAGGGTCCAGATTCTTCAAGTTTCAATTTAAAATCAAGCAGTGTAGAGTGGCCTTACTGAGATGGAACAAGCAGAAGGAGAGCAATTTTGGGAAAATCATCTTACAGACTAAAAAAGAGATGAAAGTGCTAAGGGATAGTAATGTAAGTGGAAAAGGGGTCAGACTGGCATTGTTGAAGAAAAAACTAGTTGCAGTTTATATGGATGAAGAGGTCTATTGGAGTCAAAAAGCAAAACAGAAATGGTTAACAGAAGGAGATAAAAACACCAAATTCTATCATGTTTGTGTGGCTGGAAAAAGGAAAAGGAATAGGATTGGTCTTATCAAGAAAAGAGATGGGGATTGGTGTAAGGATGAGGAGGAGACTGGCACAGAAATAATCCAATATTTCAAAGACATTTTTACTGCTGAGGCTCCTCAGGGCATTGATGCCATCCTAAATGAAATTTCACAGTCCATAACTAGTGTGATGACCAAACAGCTTATCTTACCTGTGACTGAGCAGGAGGTTCACAGAGCTGTCTTCTCTATGCATCCAAACAAGTCACTTGATCCTGATGGTATGACACCTATCTTTTTTCAAAAGTTTTGGTCTAACATTAAGCTAGATTTGATTAATGCTGTTCAGAGTTTCTTTCATTCTGGCAATTTACTAAGAGCTGTTAGTGAGACCTTGATCTTGTCTGATTCCTAAAGTTGACTCTCCTGTTGATATGACTTTGTTTAGACCTATTAGTCTATGTAATGTACTATACAAAGTTATTTTCAAAATTCTGGTCCATAGGTTAAGAAATGTTATCAGTTGCTGCATCAGTCCTTTTCAGTCTGCTTTTGTTCATGGTAGACAAATTCTAGATAACATACTTGTGGCTCATGAATGCATTCATTTCCTTAACAAAAGATCTGGTAAGGAGGGATTTATGTTTATCAAATTAGATATGTCTAAAACTTATGATAGGGTAGAATGAATTTTTCTAGAAAAATTAATGTTGAGAATGGGGTTCTGTCAGCAGTGGATAGGATGGATTATGGAATGTGTTTCTAGTGTTTCCTATGCAGTCAGTGTTAATGGGGAGAAGAATGGGTTTATCAAACCATCTAGGGGGCTAAGATAGGGAGACCTCTTGTCTCCTTTCTTGTTCCTTATTTGTGCAGACGGCTTCTCAGTTCTGCTCAATCAAGCAGTCAGACAGGGAAAACTAACTGATCTCCAATTGTCTTCTGGTGGTCCTAGATTATCTCATCTCTTTTTTGCAGATGACTCATTAATATTCTGTAAGGCCAAGGAAGAGAAGGCAGTGCAGTTGATGGAGGTTCTAAGGCAATATGGTGATGCTTCAGAACAACTCATCAATATTGAGAAATCATCAATTTTCTTTAGCAAAAATGTCCCAACAGGGGAGAGGTTGAAGGTGCTTGAGAGAGTGAGAGGGATGAAGAAGGTTAAACAGAGCAGGTACTTGGGTCTACCTTTGGTAATTGGTATATAAAAAACATAAGTATTTAACTTTGTTAAGGAAAAGGTGATTAGACGGATATCAGGATGGAAAGAGAAGTTGCTCAGTATGGCTGGAAAAAAAATGCTACTGAAATCTGTGGTCATGGCTCTTCCAGCATATGTGATGTCATGTTGCAAGCTTCCTAAGGAACTTTGTAGGGGTATTGGGAAAGAGATGGCTAAGTTTTAGTGGGGAAGCATGGGTGAGGAGAGGAAGATGCACTGGTTAGGATGGAGTAAGCTATCTGAATTTAAACAGAATGGGGGATTGGGCTTTAGAGATTTAGAAAATTTCAATCTAGCATTTCTGGTCAAGCAGCTATGGAGAATATTCACTAGGCCAAATTTGCTGGTAAGCAAGATCCTTTAAGCCAAATACTTCAAAGAAACCTCGATCTGGAAGATGAAGAGGAAACACACTGATTCCTGGTGTTGGAAAAGTATTTTAAGTGCGAGGTCATTGTTGGAAGAGGGGGTGAGGAAGAAAGTGGGAGATGGAACGACTATAGACATCTGGAAGGATAGATGGGTTCCTAGGGTGGCAGGAGGGAAGGTGGGCACACAACAGGATACTGACCTGGGATTGTGTAGAGTTAGTGAGCTGATTAAAAATGGGAGTTGGAATGAGGAGTCATTGGGGAGGGTGTTTGCTAAAGAGGATAGGGAGAGGATTTTGCATATTTCCTTGAGCCTGCAGGATACCAAGGACAGACTCTTCTGGGTACACACTGCCTCTGGGGAATACACAGTCAAGTCTGGATACAGGTCTGCTCAGGAGAGAAAGGTAGGGAGGAGGGTGAGAGATAGGCATGAGGAATCTGGAAGTAGAAATGAGGTAAATGCAAGAGGATGGAAAGTCTTATGGCAACTTAATATGAAGCACAAACTGAAGCATTTTATTTGGAAATGTATGAAGGGTATCCTGCCAGTCAATAAAAACATCAAGGATAAGAGCATGCAAGGCAATCCACTGTGTAAATGTGTGGCTTCTTCTCAGAGTCGACTGAACATATGTTGTTTCTATGTAGTCATGCAGAGTCTATTTGGAAAGTGGCTCCAATTCAGTGGGATGGATTGGAGAATTTGAGAGGGAAGTTTTGGTTGTGGTGGTTTGAGCTGGTGGAGGCAACAGCTAGGGAAAAGGGGGAGGAGCATATTATTTTCACAGTCAACCTGCTATGGCAAATCTGGAAAGATAGGAATGAGATAAACTTCAATGGGAAGGGTAGAGGTCCCGCGGTGGTGGTAAACAAAGCATTAACAGAATGGATGGAGTACCAGGAGATTCAGGGAGAGGGAAGGGAGGAAGAGAGAGAGTTAAGGCAAAGGACAGGGAAGCAAGAAAGATGGGCTGCTCCTGATAAAGGATGGATCAAGCTGAATACTGATGCCGCATTGAATCAGCAAACAAATAAAGCTGGCTGGGGTATTGTTGCTGGGGACTAGAAGGGGAAGCTGGTTGCTACATGGGCTTGTCCTTCCTTTACATGTTCAGTACCAATACTTGAGGAGGCATTGGCAATCAGAACTACAATGGTTAAAGCAGCTTTGGAAGGTTGGGAAAGAATTATTATAGAATCAGATTGTAAGGCTATAATAGATAAAATAAAGAAGGATACGGATGATGTGGTTATATCCACAGTCTTGCAGGATATTAAGCTACTAAAACATAACTTTGAAGAATGTTGTTTCTCCTTTGTTCGTAGGGAGTTCAACTCGGTTAGTCATAAGTTAGCAAGATTTGCTCTAAATTTAGGGTGTGTTGTTGACTGGAAAGCTTGTTTTCCAGTTTGGTTGCTTGATAGTGCTCAAGCAGATGTTGAGGAGTAGTTGCTCCAGGGTGTGTAACTTGGTTTTGTTGAATGAAATGTTGACGTTTTTTACAACAAAAAAAAATAAAAATTTGTTGATGGGGGGCAATTGTCCACCCTCAACTAAATGTGGTTTTGCCACTGCTCACTCTCTTATATCAGTATTTAGTGTAGATTTAGTGGGTCCCTCCCTAATTGTTCAATATTTGTCATTTAGACCTCCAAGTATCCAATTGACTCCCCCCCTCCCAAAAAAATGAAGCAAGCTTAAGGTAGTGTTAGAATAGGAGGAAGTTTGGGTTAAGTAGTAAAGTAAAAGACATTATAAATGGTCAAGTAGGAGGATTGAATCTTGAATCCAGAAACTCCCACTTATTAAAAAAAAAAAAATTCTAGTGTTAAAATAGACCTGAATTCACCTCCCAAAGCAATTCTTAATGGTAATGTCTATAAGAAAATCTTTTCTTCTAAGATCTTCACTTTTCCGAATGTTTTTCCATCTTTATAAAGAGAGAAATATGCTTATATATGGGGCAGTCAATCAACCTTGTTTTAACTGGATTTTGACGAATCCAATCTCGGGTCACAAAAGAAATAAGATTCTCGAGATTTTTGGGCTTTCAACTTCAAATTTGTAATATGAGCTACAAATATGACCTAAATTCTACCTAGATTGGTTATATACGTTAGGTTCAGCCCCAATTTTTCAAGCCAGACTCGGACCAAGTCGTACTCATTTGCTCAACCAAAAACAGTTTAATTTTTGTGAATTTCGTTCCATCAATGATGAAAGAGATTAGTAGTAGTTTGTAATTAATTAATATAGCCACATTCAATTCATAATGGGAAAATCGCAGATTCCTATGTTAAGTACGGACATAAAGCCACGGTTAGCTTTGCCTCCTTCACTAGAATAATTGTTACCTCGTTGTCTTGTCTTGTATTGTTCCATATGATATGAACCTATTGATTCAATTCGAGATAACATTTTCATGGATGTATCATATATAACGTTGACGACTCAAATAGACAACACTGCACAAGAAAACCTCTTACTGTATTTACTAGTCAAAATCAACTACGTAGTATGCAGTTACAGTATGGCTCGCTCCATGAAAATGACTCTTTAGCGGTAAAGAAAGCAACCAAAATGCATAAAAATAGGACGACGGGTTAATATTTATATTACTGGTCAGCGGTAGATGATTGGTTATATAATATATAATTAGAGAAATGTACAAAAGTCCACTCAAATTCGAATAAAGAAAACAAAAAAACCAGTGCAACGGGGTTTCAGATTTTTATTCGCGTCAAACACAAACACATGAATTGGCTAACCCATGCATCTCTTGTTAAGAAAGCAGTATTTAATTTGATGGTCGTTTTCCCAACATGCTATTTTATCCAAAAACCAATTTGTTCTTTTGCGCAGAGGTCTTTTCTGGCTCCGCTTACGGTTTAACATCTCTTTACGTCAAAGATACTGAGTATTAAACAAAGCAAATTCAAGACATCGGAAGATAAATGAATATGGCTGGCGGCTGATCCTTGGCCAACTACATCATCTTAATTGGAGATTGCACATCAGGACGTTTTTGTACCCTACATGGTACGTTTGAAGTTGAACTTCTGTTATAATAAGATATCCTTAGTTTGGTAATAAAACGTATTTTGGATCCAATTTTCAACTCCGTATGCATTGGCCACTTCACAGTTTTCCCATATATGAAAAACTTGCTAATGGCTGTTTGATATCGACCTAATCATCCTGATCCATGGAAGATATATGCTTTTTAATTCGAACTCATCCACACGCAAGCTCTTGGGTATGGAGCATTTTCCTATGGAAAGTGAGAGGAGCCACTTGTTGGAATTTTATGAAGAGTCATTTGCTATGCAAAAAAAGTTTTATTTTATTTATTTTGGTTGAAGAGAAACTCTAAGGTATAGAAGAAGGAGAAGAAGAGAAGGGAGTGTTTGAGAGTCAAACCAACGAGATATATTACAATTAGCTAATCCTTCAAGATTTTTCAGATTTTTCTTTTGTGACGAAGGCAAATAGTGAAGTTCAGATAGATTCTTCAACAATTAGGATTTTAAATCAAAATTAAAGGTCATGTAACTGCCTCTTCAACTCGTGTATGGGTGTAAATTAACCGACCAAAGTCTCAAATTCTTCTTGTTTCCCAGCTCCCTATGAGCTGAACCAAAAGCCACCAAATATAAATAAATAAAAGAGAACTGCTATATGCGTCAATATGAACAGAAGAACGTAATGTTTCAATAATTAATTTCCTCACGGAACATTTTTCATGGAGCTGAGGTGCTTTATCTTTTTAGTTTTTTATTTTTTGGACATCCCGTTTCTTGAATGCATGGGAACTGGGAATCCCCTAGAACTAGAAGTAATACCCTAGGAAGAGGGCACTTTAGGCATAAACTCATGAGATGAGATGAACTTCCCATGACCAAAAGGAAACCTGAAAGAGAGGGCATGCAATACTTTTGTGTCTGCCAATTGCTTGAAGAAAGAAGAGGGCCACTGGACCACCCACCCTTGGCCTTTCTCTCCTCCTCATCTCTACACTATTGCACCTGCTGTACATCAACATTTTCGGCCCGTCAAGTTGGAGTTGGGGATTTATTGCTCCCACCAATTGATAGATGAACTTAGATTCACCACTAAATTCAGTAAGACGGGCGACAGGGACGCCTATGGTGATCAAGAACTTGATGGTAAAAGATTATCTTTTCTTTTTTCCGTCATGTTATTGTGAAAAAACCCTTAACAGAGACCGTTTACAGAATTATGATGACCAGGAAAAATGCTACTTCATAAGTAAATATCTGCAGCGACCTTATTTGGGCTGGGATACTTCTCCTCTTTTTTTCTTGAAAAAAAATTTTTTTTTTTGGTTGGTGTGGGGTAGTGGTGTCGTTTTCCCTTCGTCATCGATAAAATTTTATTGGAGATAATGATGTTTTTTTCCCTTTTTTTTGGGCTGTTAGAGGGATTAATCCTTTTTCTTGTTCATGTTCAACTTTGAAGATTCGAGACAGTTTTTTTATTGATACTTTTGGAAAGAAATAGAGAGACACTACTAGTATTATGAGCTTGAGACTGAGACTAAAGATGAAAGAACAGTGAAAACCTTATTATAGAAATGATAGCGTCTCTCATATCAACTATCGATTAAAATTAAACTGCAAGAAATATCTTAATTTTTCAATTTTGTTATGCAGTAATCATATCAACCTAATCACAATTGCTCCACATCAACTTCATGACGTTTACTCTGAAAAATATTTTTATAAAAATATATATATATATAAAAATCTCTGATTGGCATAATGGTCAAAATCATGTGAGTTAACATTT